TGAAAATAGCTACTCTCTTCTGATAAAATAAGCATGCTTGGCTGAAATGGGGTTTATCTCAAATGTGGCAACAGCTTCATTTTGCAGGCGTTAGGCTCTATGGCGGGGCGGGCAAAACATGGCCCACGGACCAGATCCGGCCCACCAAGCCATGCTATCCGGCTCATGGGGCCCCTCTAGAATTTGGATAATTATTACCTGCCGATGGCTGCCTGTCTGAAAGCCAACGAAGTGCCGGTGGCGGGAGCCACCGGCACTTGCAGCAGCAAGCAGCTCAGGCTCTAGTTGCAAGGCAATCAACCCAACCGCAACCTCACCCTTTCCACCCCGCTCTGCCCCCACCACCAGAAGCTTCTGGCTAGCAGATGCTTCCGCCCCTGGTGCCCCGTGCCTATTCCCCAGCCCTTCCTTGTCAGAGATCTGAATTTCAGACAAGAACAGGCCGGGGTGGGGGGAAGGACCACCAGCGATCACCCCACTCCCTGAGGCTCATGGGACTCTGGCTCTGCGCCTCCACGTGCCGCTCGTGGCTAGAGTGCCAGAAGCACCATGTGGAGGCACAGAGCCGGTCCAGCCCGATGGCGTGGGACTTCCTGAGGCTCCTGGCACTCTAGCGCACCACTGGGCCAAGCCAGTCCTAAACCGTGCCGTGTGGGTCCTGGCCTTGCAGCCAGGAACCATGTACTGCCAGGAGGAGATGGGTTGGGCCCAGCTGGCTCCATGCTGCGCCGCATGAGTCCTGGCCTTGCGGCCCAAAACCATGTGTTGCAGGGATGGGCCAGGCTGGCTCCGTGCCATGCAGGTCTTGCCCTTGCAGTCGGGAACCGCACAGCGCAGCAGAGCCAGCCTTGCCCGTCCCGTCCCGTCCCGGCAGCAGGCAGGTCCCCGCTACACACAGTATTCGAGTAAGGCTGTATTTTGAGCTATTATGCAATTGCCTCTATATACGTTATGGAAACGCACATAAATCAAGATTAAAAAAAAATGTTAAATAAGATTAAAATGTTATAGTAACAGTTTGATTTTTTTAGTATACGATTTGGGGTTTTTTTTCTTGTTCCAAGATGGCAGCCCCCTCCTGTCCCAAAAGGAGTACTTCCAGGGCAAGGGGTGGGACTTCTGGTGGCCAAGGTTAGGGGCGGGACTTCCTGCCCCAATATGGCAACCAGGGGGCAGGGCAGCTAACAAGGGACGGGGCTACCTATGCAGCTCTCAACAGCTCACCAAAACTCATTAAGCAGCCCTCCAGCCAAAATGGCAAGCTTCATGTTACATAAGTAGAGAAACCAATTGTAAGATGCTCAAACTAGGTGGATTTGCACATGCATTTTACTGCAGAGTTGACTTATGAGCTCCACAGTAAAGTGTCACCATCTACACGTGCACCTGTATTAGGGCGCAGTAAATTAACTAACTCCACTGTGGGATAATGCTTTCCAACATCTATGAGGAGATCCAGTATAGGACCTGATGTGCCAGCTCGGCCTTCAGAAGACCGAATCATGCGATCGCTGAACACAACATCAGGACTCAAACAAAGCTCCTGCTATATAAGGCTGGGGCAATCCCAACTCTACTCTATGATTGTGAAACTTGGGTGACCTACAGGGACACCTGGAAAATGCTAAAACCCCAGCACCAGCACCACCTCTGGAAGATCCTTGGCATAAAGTAGGAAGATAGTTGCATAAATGCCAGTGTCCTCACCAACGCTAACACCTCCAGTATGGAAGTGTTGATTATTCAATATCAGCTGTGCTGAACAGCGCACTGTGTGCACATGCCTGACACGCGTTTACCAAAATAACTGCTATACTCCCAACTCAGCCAAGGACAAAGGATGTGCACGGCCCAGACGAAACGCTTCAAGGACACCCTCAAGGCAGACATTAAGAATTCTAGCACTGAAACTACCAACTAGGAAAAACTAGCCCAGGACAGGGAAGGAGGGAAGGTGCTTTAGGGGAATCTTTGAATAGATTACAGCAGCCCAAAGGCTGCTCTAAACTGCATTGACTGCCTATTCCTACAAATTGCCATTCTAGCAGCTGAGAACTACTAGGGTAGAAGGACAACCCATCTTTGTCTATTTTCCCTGGGATACTAGACTGGAATAGAATGGTAAGTCTGCATCTCTAATAGACTCCTTCACGAAGGGAGAACGGTCTACTGGCTTATAAACTTTCACTGGGAGACTTATGGAAAGATGTCTTAGCCAACCAGAATAAAGTTAACAGTATGAGACAGGGCACGATTTTCCAGGAGTGGCTTGTAGTTTTTGGGTAGGCAACATTTCCAAAAGTACATTTAAAAAAGGAATCCACTCACTCCAGAATAGGCAATAAAATGTTGTTCAGAACATTCATGATGGAGTCTCGGGTCTTCCCGAGTCGAACAAGAACTCAAACCCGGGTCTTCCCACCCTAATCACCAGATTGCAGACATTGTGAGAGGACATGGGTTGGACCAGAAATCTTACTCGGGGCCCAAGGAACATTTCTGGAATAACATTTCAAGGGACTTGAGGAAGGGTATTGGGTGTCCTAAAACTTGTCTGTTATCTATTTACAGTCTTTCCTTTTGAAATGTCAGAAGAACCAAAGTTAACTTTCTCCTAAGTTTAAATGTAGCCCAGCTTTAAACATTTTAACAATTCGCTCTGCTGTCTGTAGAACACAGCAATATAAATATTACTATCTCTGCTAAAATGAATTATTGACGATTTTAATACATGTTGCACAGTACATATTAATATAGAAAAATACATGTTATCAGCAATATAATGTTGACCATGTACTAATCCATTCCACCTGCTCAAATATTAGTGCAAATAATTATATATTTGTAATGCATCATTGCTGTCTAGTTTGAATCTATGCTTCCAGAATAAATGTGCCTTCTCTGAAGTTGTTTGCCATCATAAGTAAAATGTTATATATTCATACTCAAATTGACTTTGGTTGGATAAGTAGAATGAGCAACCTTCAAAAAGCCACTTAGACTTAGCAAGTTATTTTAATGAACTGCTTACAATAAAATGAATGTTACAAAAATATTTCAAATAAAAACCTCATATTATCTGGCTTCTCAGTGGCAGCAAGGTACTGGGGTGGGGGGAAATCATAGTGCAAAGTTCAGTATTACTACACTTAAATTGACAACACACTTTCTAACACACTAGTTCAGTTGAGCTCATTAGTGTATCCTCTTTTCTAGGCAAAGTTGGTTGCTTATTATATGCAGCATGCCATAGCTATGCACTAGTAAAAGGCTTCTGAGCACACCTTCACTCAGATTTGTCTACCTCTTTTTGGATGTTTCCAGAGACATGCAGAAATGGCTCATTTCAGTAGAAGCACAGATTTTCCACCGAACTTGTTAGGATGCAATGAAGTTTGGAAACAAGCAACTTTGCTTGCTGCTTTAGAACCAGGTCTGGAGATATCCAAAAGGCACAGGATGAAACCTATCCAAGCCATAAAAAACCCGAGCGATTGAGTTGCATGAAAGAACAAAAACAGTTTGGAAAGGGAAGTCCATTTCTCATCCCATCAATATAGGCACACCAAGTCAAGGATGCAGTTCACTGGTGCTTGACCCCTTAGAGTAGACAGTTTCTCCTCTCAATAGCTTACTATCCAAATAGGCAACGCTGATGCATGTTGAGAAGGATACACTGTAAGCAGATTTGAACAGGGGGCAGGTCTGCAAATGCTATGATTTTGGTTAAAAAAATCATTCTTGGCTGGGGTTTGGGTAGGTGGGGGCAACAAAAATAGAAGGGAGGAGAGGGGGTAGGGTTGGGGAACACTGAGATCAGACAAAGCGAGGTTGAGGTGAAGAACTGTACCAACCAGCCAGAAGGTGGGAAAGCCCGACTACATCAGCAGCCTCTGTCCGTTCCTCCTGTAGAAACTCTCTGCATATGTGCTTGCTATATTCTGACAGTCCGTCCCACAATATTGGGTTTATTTCTTAACTTGCCAGCTCCTCAAGTAATTGCCTTACGTGAGAACCTCAACGTTCACTTGAAAAACATCAAGTAAGGGGCTCAGCCTTTGAGGCTGTGAAGAAAAGCTTGAAAATGTAAACCTCAAACGGCTCAGATATCAGAAAGTGAGTAAAAAGATCTCCATTTATCATTGCAAATTCCCATGTTTTGAGGACCTCGTTCTTTTGGGATGCCAGGGTTGGCAATGCTGGCCAGGGGCATCACTGGAGTCCTGCAAAATTCCTCTCGTCAGAAGTTTGTGGAGAGTGGATCTTCTGGCAATTGCTTGGCCCATGCCCTTATACATCTGCCTATGATGAGCAAGAAACTGTCCGCAGCAGAGGTGGTACATAGGCACCACTGGGAAATTATTTTAAAGATCATCCCCCCCTCCCCACCATGCAGCCTCTCCACATCCTCCCTTCCACACCAGGGATGGACGAATTCCTCTTGCGTGGAGGACATGGGGTCCAACCTTGAACACAGGGCTGAGCATCAGGAGCCTCTATTCTAACCAGCAGTTACAAGACTAAGTTATTTAGCCCCTGGGCCTCAGCCTACCCACTCTGTGCAAGGGGGCTAAGACTCCACCTGAATGGAATTCAGAATCCTTCCTAATGGAAACAGCAACGTCGCAATATTTCTTTTAAACTGATGTTTTGAACAGAAACTTCCAAGATTTTGATTCTCAAATATCACATGGACCTTTGCAACCAAGGCAGAACTTCCCCACCCCTCTGGACCCAAAATGTTTCATTGTGGTTTATTAAACTGACCTGAAAGTGTTCAGATGTGGAGAAAGTTGGCTGTGAAATCTCCTTCCACAGTGGTGGTGCAGCAACTCCTGGGCAGTGCAGTTCAGAAACCTGGTACCAGCATTTTCCCTTTGTAGGCCAGGCTACAAGTACTCAGGTTACATCATGCAGCCATGACAGGGGAAAATATGCACTGCATTACAGGAGGTATGTCCACTGAAAAGCCCAAAACATTGCAGAGGACATGGGAAATGTTAATGTTAAATAAAGAGAAACACTTTATTTCTTATGAATCCACTGAAATACTAAAGTCTTCTGAGGCCTCTTGGAAGCCCTGCTGTTCAGGTACAGGGCTCCTTTTGGGTGTCACAGCAGGGACAGACAGTTCTGCTGAAGCTCTTCGGCAGATGTAGAGTAGCAACAAGGATTCTCATGTGGGTAGTGGGGCTAGAGGTGGGTAAAGAGTTGTCTTCCAAGTCCAAGGGAGCTGGATTAGCATGGGAAGATAGGGGGATAGTACTGGTGCTCTCTTACCTGCTATGAGTGGGAGATGGAAGAGGCAAACATGGCCCTTCTATCCCCAATATATGAATAATAATAATAATGATGATAAGACATAGCAACAACCACCTCAAAAGCAAGAAATTTGGCTCTCTAGTCCCTGAAAAAAGCTAAAAACTGGGGACAAAAAGCACTGGCTCTTCCACTCTGCTCACCTCCACGATGCACCATGGAGAGCAGAGGCTGCAAAGGATGACCACAGGCAGTAGGGGGTGGTGAAGGGAAGATCCCAGGCTGCTGTGCAGCAAGCAGAGGGCTTTGGCGCACACTTCCAAAGAAAGGAAGGAACATTTCTCCTTGCATTTCCCACACAAATGGAGGAGAAATACTTTTGACAATATACAACAAGTCATAGGAAATTTAAGCTCCTTCCCTAGCACAGAGTGGAGAATGAGCACACTGGCCATCTTTGAGACCCTGCTTCCATTCAAAAGATGGAGGATTGCCCCACAGCCAACTCTAATTACACTTTTCGGTTACCTACAACACTTAAGCAGCCTAGTGATGCTTCATAAGGGTAACGACAAAAACCAACGGTGTACCTTGGTTCTTAAGCAGGCACTAATTTGACATGCTGCAGAACTCAAGTCAAACCACCACTTACCATTTACCTAGAGGGCTGTAGCCCTGGCAGGGAAAGAGGTGGACCCAACATTTACAGCATAGCTCTGTCCTTCAGAGCAGATTTATGCTTGAATAGGGAAAGCCCTTTACAACTGAATTTAAAAGATTTCAAGGTCAATCAGTAGTTCCAAAGTGAGTCACTTTAACCATTTTCCCCATCTCTAGAGGCTCATTTAAAACAAGGATAGGATCAGACAGAACGCTGCTCACAATCCTGTTTATTCTCCTCTAATGCTGATATATGTGCCAAGCTCCTATTAATCATATTTTAAGGTCGTTAGATTTCCCCATCCACATACTGGGCTTCCTCAGTTACAATAGCTTATCCTGTAGATCCTTTTAGTCCATGTCATCTTCACAGTCTTTTTAAAACCCTCTGTTTCCAAATACCTAGGTCTTCCCTTTCTCCGCCTCCTCTATTTCTCAATGTTCCTATATTTTCTATTGGTTGAGTCACGTGGTTAGAGAGTGGCTGCTCATTTTTTTACCCTCCATGAAAATGCAAACAGAATACAATACCAAGTCATGTTAATAAATTATAGGACTTGTAAAACAAAACAAAACAAAAAACACACACGCAGCTTATTTCCAACCTATGATAATTTAGTGCAAAACCATTTTTACCCATTGGAGACAGCATAATTACACACACATACACACACCTCCTCTCAAGCATTCAATTGGCAGCTGGCCTGTTAAATGCCAATGTTCTAAGAGAGAGCATTAGAAAGGTAGCACTTTAACTCATTACATGAGCATAAAAGGGCATATTTGAATTTTGGATAGTACTTCTATTGTATTCAAAAGCTACTGGAAATATTTTCCTAAATTACATGCTATAATAGCTATAAACGGAAAAATGTATAAAGATTATAGCTTCCCCACCCCAACTCAAATTTTATTTCAAAGTAAACTTCCTGATAACTAGTCTCTTATATAAATGGTTTGTTTTGTATGGGTTTTTTTTTTCCCCAAGGGGTGGGAAGGGAAGGCCCACACTACTGATGGATTTAATCAGTAAAATTACTTTTATTGATTTTTCAATAGAAGGGGTCTATACAATTGAGTATAAAGATTTTTTTTAAACAAAGTGGAAATGGAATGAAATGGAAAAAAAAGGCATCTGGAGAGAATTTTTTTTTTTATTGAGGAAGTGTTTACATGTCTAAGTTTTAAAGTATTTGCCTATTGCTTGCTGCCTCATTACTTTAAATAGGCTAAAAATGGAGAATATTGCACTGAATTTATGCATGGAAAATACAGCTAACAATGCAAGAACATGGTGAGTACATTTTATACATCTTTAAAATAACTCACAACAAACTTACAAGACATTTTGAAGCACTTCTGTGATATGCAGTCTTAAAATGATGTTTACTGTTCTAGAAGTGTTTACAAATTGACACTTTTTGTACAAAGATTTCATATTGGTTAGTAAAACCACAGCCTTGAAAATTGTTGGCTTTAAGTTACAGAGGTAACAGAGGTATAATTGGAATTCACATCAGAGCTTTCAAAAAAATGGCAACAGTACAAGCAAGTGCCTCCTCCGGTGTCCGCAACTCTTTGTGGTGCTGCCACGGCCAAGAAAGAGAGCTCCGCAGCCAAACAAAGCTGCCAAAGTTTCCCAGAATCCTTTGAGAAAACCTGGCAGAATATTTCTCTTGCTTACCAAGACTACTCTGCTAAATATAAACCGAAGCAAAAAAACAAGGTTTGTCAATTTTAACTAGAGATGGGAAGTTGTAAAAATTTCAAAAGATTCTTATACTTGTGAGAAGACAGATTTTCAGAAAACCTGCTCTGAAGGACAGGAGAAAGTCTAAATAATTCTTTGTGGATTCAGCATAGTTAAGACATAGTGCTGCAGATGATTTGCCGAGGGATGAGATGAGTGCAGCTGGCGAGGACTCTGAAACAGCGCAGTTCCTACCTGGTTTCCACAGGGCTTCACTCTAGAAAATACCTTTGCTTACTACAGAACTGTCAACCACTGGGAAAAATCACCCCAAGGGCTTCATCATCCCCACTGCTTCATTTCAAATACTGCACCCACCATGGATCCATCATTTCAGAGGCACCTTGAGTAGATTTCTATGGTCTAAAGAGAGCACACAGAAGTAGCAGTCCCCAGTCTTAAGCTGGAGGGGTGCAGTTTCTGCACCTTCAGCGATACCACATCACTCAGCAACTGAAGATGAATTCTGTTTGGAGCGGAACATTTCAGTTCTGGATTTTGGCTAGAATGAACCAATGAATATTTCCTCCTCTGACTTCTGTTACAATCTTGCTAATATACAAAACAACATACAAGGTTCTTTTTTGGTTGACAACGGGCACCTTCACCTCTGCAGTAATTAAGTCTACAATCAACAGGGTGGTATTCAGTCAGGAACATATCGAGTTAAATGTGCCAGTATCAAACAGTAAAACAAGTGTGCCAGGAGTTCATACAAAACTAATACATTCCAGCAGGCTTCTTACAGTTAGGTGCAAAAACCTTTACCGTTTCAGTTTCACTTAAAGTTCTATACAATGAATAAATTACATCTTTCTTGGGATACTGTTACTCCTCTATCTCAAAGAAATTCCAAGCTAATTAAAGCAAGAAATTACATTGAGTCGGATAACATTTTGAAAGAATGAAATGACTTAGAAACACCAATCAAAGATAATTTGATTATGATTAGCTGTGCTGAAGTCCAAGTCATTAAAATTGATGATGGTTTTTACATAGTTCTGTTCTATGTAATCCATTACCTATGCTATGCTCTGCAGTTAACATCTAATAAATGGTATCTGTTAATTCAGGATTGAAGACTAAAATACTTTCAATACACCACTTGCCCCCCTACACCAACATTTTTCCAATGCAAAATTACTACCAAGTAGTTTTGCAGAAATTTATCTCTGGGGAAACTTTAGCTTGCAAGGAACCTGAACTAATCATTAGCTTACATTTGCTGACATTCTTCAAATAAAAAGTCAAGTTTAAATATGGCTGCTGCATTACTCTGAACAGTCACTGTCCCGCAAAACTTACAACTGCTATTTGATAAGAAATCATTCCCTGTGCTTTCGAATAACCAAGGCCTGGGCAAAGGTATACGGTTCTTCCATACTCTCAGCTGAAGTGGCGAGCAAGGCGAGCAGATCTATAATCAGCACGCAGCTGAACAAAGGAGTGAAGGATGTTCTTATCCAGATTAGCAAGTTGCTCTCCTGAGCAGACCTGCTTTAAATTATCTGGGGCTACGACCAGAAGGTTGCAAAGTGCATGCAGGGTATCAAATAGCTGTAATACCAGTGGGATCTGCATTAAAAGAATGAGAGAGAATACAAGTCAAAATATTCAAGTGAACTGTATTTTTACAATTAAATAGGCAAGTTCAACATAATGCCATGATGCTATCTTCTACTCAAAAGGCTCATGTGTCATCTGGAAGTAGCCATATGAAAGTGTGGAAGTGTGAAAAATTAAGTTATATGCTATCCAATACAACTACATTTTTACTGCATACATTACTAAGATGGGGGGCATATGCATCACTCCATAGCAGCAGCAGCCACCTAGCACATTAAAAGTATATCAAAATTGATAAAAGTATATCAATTAATGAAGGATTTAATATGCAAATCAGGAGCTAATCTCATAACAAGATCACTTAATTAAAAGGTGGCAAATTTCCAAGCAATAAAAAGGAAATGTCTGCAGGAATATGTAATTAAACTATGGAACTCATAGCCACGAGATGCTATTTGCAAAATTAAGAAAAGAATAGAACATTTACAAGGATAGGAAGGATATCTTAGAAGTATAATAGCAAATGCTAACAAATTTTGGGAGACATCTTAACTTGCATATGCTTGAGATCTTAAAGCAACCTCTAACTCAAGGTACTGGGAGGAGCTCTAATATGGGGAATAGATGTGGGGTTATGTTTGCTAGGGTTTCCTGCACTTTGGAAACTTCCGGTGCTTGCCACTACTGGACACACTTTTGTGCTACACGAGTCTGAGCCAGTATGGAACTCCTAACTTTTATTTTAACATACAATTCCATATCCACACAAAAGGACATTGAAATATTCAATGTTTGTACATAATTGGAAGAGACGATGCAAATGATATTAATAGAAAGATATTCTAACGTGTACTCAAAATTTTGCTATTATAACTGATATTAAATGATCAACTACTGGACTGATAAGTGGTTAATATAAGTCAAACTATAAATAAAAAAAAAAGTTTGAGAACCACTGACTACATGCAAAAGACCATTTTTGATTAAAAATGGTTTCACTACCCATGCGTTTTATGTATACCTATATTTCACCATACACAACTTAAATGCACTTACCTTGAAGTCTTTGGCACACTTCCTGTATTCAGCCACATCACAAATCGCCAGCATGCCTCCCATGCAACTATAGGAATATTGCTGTAGATGTTCATAAATAAGTCGATGAAAGCGAACTCCTAGCTCCATCAGAACTGTGTCCACGTTCTTACCATCCATAGACTTTCTGATCTTTTCTACCTGCTTTCTGACATAGCCACAAACCTTAACACAGGCCTTAAAAAAAAAGAAAGTTAACTAGTTTAAAGAGGGTTTCCTCTTTAAAAGTGATTAAGAGCAAATTCTCAGATTAAATCAACAGCAAAATATAATGGTGGCTCCCACAGAATGACTAGCTCTTCACCTGCTTCTGGCTCTTTTCATTTTCAGTAACAAAACTGAATTGAGACATTTAAAGTACTATTCCAAATGTTACTTTTCTGACTAAAGTAACTGTCACTGCCATAGAGAAGAGCTCAACAATTCCAAATGGGAACAGAAGAAAAAAAAAAAAGTGTCAGAGATTTTCCTTACGTTATGGTCAATACCAATTCATAGTGCGTACTCCTCACAGAAATGGACCTAACTCTGTTTTCACTGTGTTTAGTCAAATTTGATTGGGTCTGCTTAGCATCCTGCAACAAACTTGCTGGTGCTCCCACCATGTTTCAGAATCCACATCAAAAAGTTTGAGAATTCTCGAGTGAAAACAACTCTGAAAAATGAATCAAGTTCATATGTATTCAAATATCAATATTTGATAGAGTGAATCAAGATGCTAATATCATTCAAATTATTTTCAAAGTGGCCTTGTATATAACAGACCACATTTGCAGTTGGTTTACTCACATTAGTGTACTGAATCAAAACATTATTTTCATCTTCTGGTTTAAAATCAGTCTTCTTTTGTTCAGCAGCCAAGATGTGCTTCATCTGTCCAATCATACAATTCAGTGTCCTTTACATTGAAAAACAGTATATTCAAAGTGAACATTTTCATTTATTTGGCTTTTACATTTACAAATTCTACTGCAATCCTGTATTACAATGGCAATTGCATAATGAAGAACTAAACACTAATATTCATCATTGCCGTTAAATGGTAGAACACCTAAACATAAAAAGCAGGGATGCTAAAAAATGTACAACTTGGGTGCATTAAAATAGACACTCTTTGAAAGTGAGACTGCAATTCAATTTTCTATGCAAGACAAGCCTGATTTTCTGAGGGTGGTTCGGAAATGAGTCAGTAAAAAGACTTCTGTTCCAACTTCTCTTCCTCCCTGAGCACAGTAACGGTACATTCAATTAGAAAGCAGCCTATTTAAATCTAACTGTTCAGAAAGCTGCTGTAGAAAGCAGACAGAAGACTCTAAAGTGAACGTTCCGGATGTAGTTTAGTAAAATTGCACTGTATAGTATTCCTTGGAACACATCCCAAAACACTTGCAAAACAAAAAGTAAGAAGCTGGTCCAGTACTGGTAAATGGAAGTTTCTCTTGTTTTGCATTACATCTTTCTAGTTTAACTAGCTCATATTCCCTCTTTCTTCCTCATTTAATTATTATCTAAGGTCAAATAAATAGCTTATTTTATGATCTGTTCCAAAGTTGATCAAGAGATTGCTTAAAGAAGAAAGCAACTGATGCAGGAAGAGATAAGAAACTAAGCATGAAAAGTTTCAGCCTCCCCAAATTAGCACTTTTTGGCAAAAGTTCAATGTGATCTCCAATCCACTACCTGGATTGCAAAAAGAAATGCATTCAATGTTTTTAACAACAGCCTCATAGGAAGAAACATTTCTTTTATAAATGAAACGTAAGAAAAATGATCAAAGCCATATTTAAAATCTGACTTGCCTGTCAATGCCCATGTCCAGTTTCACCTCCATTTGTTCTATTATATCCTTTTTCTTCTGAAGGCATTCAGATAACTTGGGAGAAGAGCTATGGTAATATCAGAAAAAAAATAAGTAGTCAAGCATAATGCAAATTTTATTTATTCTGGGAGCTCCTGAAAACAGGAGTTTCAGGATTCCCCATTAATCCCCACCCTGAAAGGACCAGCCTAGATTGAAATGCCCTGTCCTAGAAGTCAACAACTACATGATGCCCTACCTCAAAAGCTGACTGACCCTGTGCATGGATTTGGTGAAGCAGAGACAGAAAATACCCTGCTGCAGTTCAGACAGAGTTGTTCCTGAATGGGTGATGCTACTTTTATATCGCTGCCAGACTGATGAGTCAGTGAACAAAATAAGTTTACTGGCCACTGCAATGCTCTCTTCATCAACATGCTGTAGTATCTCTAAGAGGAGCGCCTTTTCAAATTTGCTCATTAAAAAAAAGAAGGCAATGATTTCTTAGGGCCTTTCGAATGCAAGATATGAAGAATGCCCTGCATTCAAAAGCTTGTCTAACTCTATCCCAACTATGCACTTGGTCCAATAAAAGACATCACCCTAAGAAATCCTTTGCCTTTTGTCTAACTTCTGGACCATCACAGCTACATCATCACTTTTACGCTATTGATAAAAAATGCGAGTTAAACACCACACTATCTACTGCTCCCAGCTCCAAAATCCTGAGCAATTGTGGTTAAGGGAAATGTACTTTAATACACGTCTTGTACTAAGTAAACAACACATGAAATTCTCTCTCTCCCTCAATTAAGACAGGGAGAGAAAGTATTCATATAAAAATGCAAAAAGTAAATAACTTCCATTCTCCTGCCCCCCAGCAGACTTACCTTATTAATGGCATTAGGTGATCATTAAACTGCTTGTCAAACAAGTGGAAAATAGTATTGGCTTGATGTACAACATCAAGGAAATAAAGGTTTGCACTCTTAGAATCAGAAGAAGGAATGCCTATGGCAGAAACATTTCATTAAGATCATTAAAAAAGATCATTAAAAATGACACTACAGACAATGTACAAAGTAAAGGCAAGGGTAACATTATTAAAGTGCCTGAATCAGTGGGAATTGGGCTCCTAAGAGCTACCCAAGTTCAGCGTCTACATATACACAATGCACACACTACAAAGTCTTCATTATGTAAAAATCACTGAATGTAAACATGCAAGAGGCAAGGTGGTATTTCTTATTCGACCAACTGTGTAGTAGAGTTAAACACTCACAAAAATCCTTGCCTCCCACATGATTTCTGGACCAGCTTGGCTACACTACTCTTACACTACTACCATGAGTGTAAATATGAAATTTATCCTTTCGTTAAAAGGAGAAAAATGAAACCGATCAGAAAGAAATGTTCATTCTGATTCTTATGATGCAAAAAAAAAAGTATTTTTGAATTTATCACTTTCTTTTAATCTCTGTATTGTTTTCTCACATGAAAGTTACGCTTCAGAAGATATTGAACTGCGCCTTCCAGATGCATGAAACCAACCAATTCCCTTTCACTCGAGGCCATCCAACTTCCAAGCAGTTGGGGGCCGCATGCCTCACAGGCCAATCCAGTAGGGGCCACACACCCCAGGGGTTGCACCAGGGTGAGCCACATCCCCTACCACCACTGTACCATCCACTCACATCGATCTCCCAACCCCTGTACTACATGAGCACCCCACCGCTGCAACTGCCTGCTCATAACCCCCCCACTTTCACCCCTGCTGCACTGCACACCTGTAACCTCCACCTCTGTGCTGCACTCCTGTGACCCATCCACCCTTCTCCCCTGCTGAATCATGTGCCATGGGCTCATCCTGCTGCACTCCCCTGCCCCTCAAGATGGGGCAGGAAGCAGCAACTGGAGGAGAGAGGTGGCGGCTAAGAGACTGGCTGTTGTTATAGCCAGAGTGATGGTGGGTGCAGCAGCTGGGGGGGCAGTTTGCACAATTTAACCCCTGCTGGGCTGCATGCAGCCTGTATGCTGCCAGTGGGATAGTCCTGCTTTAAATAAACATCTTTGCACCAGGCCAGTCAGTCAAATTCATAAGAAGTTCTCTGTAGCAAGTCTGAACACAAACTAATGAGATTAAAAATAAATTATTCAAGTGCTCAAAAATATGGATGTACACCACTTCACAATGGAATCCTCAGGTACAGATAGATGGCACAACAGCACTGATGTCAAAGGATACCAATATAAGCTGCTGGGATGTAATTGGTACCTCTGTGTGCTTCTGTAGCAGTAAGTGTAGGAAAATTGTTGCAATTTTAATCACATCTAATTGCAAAGCAAAGGGCAATTTAATTTAATTGCTGCATAACAGCTGACAGGTTCTCCCGAGTAGCAGGTCCCCTGCCCTTTAAAGCAGGCCTTTTAAAACAAAGTTAAAAAGTACATTTGTACATATTCTTACACAATTATGCTTACCAGCAAGTCCTGTTTCCAGGGCATAATCAATATGCTCAATACACAAAAATTCCACAAGCATAGAAAAAATTCTGAATGCATTCTTCGGTAAATCAGAAGGATCTGAGAGCTTTAAAAACAAAATTTTTTTTTTAAATTAAATGTTTAAAAAAGAACTGAAGCTACTTTACTTTAAATGATTCCAAACAGAAAAATCACGTCACTTTAGAAAACATCACGGGACAGATCCCAGCTAGTTTAATATTAGAACAGTTCCAATTAACTCAATGGAGTGGGAACATTTACATCAGGAAAGTGAGCATCCATAAAGTCGCTACCACTGAACCTACCGGAAATAAAGTGCAGCTCCAAACCTCGTAGGTCTTCTGCCAAGAACTCTGGGATAAACTTCTACTCTGACAGGCCTTCTGCAACCTGGAGACTATGCTTTAGTGTTTAAAAACACAAAACTTTAGAGCTCTTGATTCAGAGATGATACCTTTTATTAGACCATATAATAAGTCGCAAAAAAAAAAAAAAAAAAAAAAAAAAACAACTTTTAAAAAGGTACATTCTCCTTTAAAAATATTTCTTAGCTGGTCTACAAAGAGGTATCATCTCTGAACCAAGAGTTCTAGAGAGTTTTGCATTTCATTTTGTCTCAGACCAACATGGGTACCAAAGACATCCCTTTAGTGTTTAAGATTGTAGGTGAGAAACTGTCATACAATTGAATAAAAGACAATCCTGCCTTTAAAAAGCCAAGCTAGTCCTCATACTTTCTCTGACTCTAGTGTTTCCTTAACATTAAACACTCTCAAAATAAGGCAGGTTTGTAGACATTTGTCTTAATGGAGAAAATGTTACTTAAAATACACGTGCGTGTGCCAGCAGGCAGTGGTGCACAGAATACCTGATGTATATCTGCGAGGACAGACGCACAGTTTGCATGCACAGTATGGTAACTGTGCATAAACTAGCGGGGGGCACGGTGGACATCTAACAGTTCTTTTGCATGGTCCATTACCCTGAGCACATGTACACAGTCACGAGGATTGTACAATTGCCTATGTACATTATGCCTGCATACAATTCTAAAAACCTTGGCCTAGATATGTTATTTGACATACGCTTGACTTATACAGTTTAAAGATTTCCCCAGTGACTCTTAAGGTTCTTTGCACAGCAGCTGAATGCTGGTCCTCTGTAACTTAGAATATCTGTAAAAATAAAGCTCTAGTCCTGCACATCAAGGAAGATCTGGAATCTGGAGCTAATTAACAAACATGTATTTCATTCAGGTGTCCTGAATAACAAAATATATTAACCCAGTGGTTCCCAAGGGCATGGTAAGAAGTTCACAGATAATCAGTAGATTATACCAGGCTCCCACCCCTTTTCAATGAAAAGTTGGACTTTGAAGGTGAAGCATGCGTGAAGTAGGTCAGTTAATAGTGGCATGGAATCAACAGGTCAGTTGACAGAGGTGTGCAAGAAACAGGTCAGTTGATAGCTAGCCATTGGTCAAACAACCTTGGGTACCATCACAGTAGACAAGCCAATACTTCAAACTCATATTCATAAAGTTTCTTCAAAAACTTTGAAACAAGTGATAGTTTGCAAGTTTCGACTTGAATTCTCACTGATAACATGTGCTTTAAAGTTTCCAGTTTTTTTTTAGTTATGAATGTGCAACTTGGTTAATGCTTGCCCAAGGCTGAACGTATTTGCTGTAACTTTACATACACCTGTGCATGCACACAAATAGGATTGAAACAGCTGGAACATTTCATCCCAGAAGAATGGTTCGACAAAACGTTGCACACAACTGAAAAAGGAAGGTTACAACTCGGCCACAATTATACCAGATCCTGCCAATGCCCACCGTTAATGACAAAATCCCAAATTTGGCTATACAATCTGCTGTCACTGACACACAACCCGAGCTAAGTAAAAAAAAAAAAAAAATAGTATTGGCTTGGTGTACAACATCAAGGAAATAAAAGGTTTGCACGCTTAGAATCAGAAGAAGGAATGCCTATGGCAGAAACATTTCACTAAGATAATTAAAAATGACCACTACAGACAATGTGCATCCAAGTCCTTTCTAAGGGCAAGGGTAACATTTTCAAAAGTGTCCGAATCAGTGGGAATTGGGCTCCTAAGAGCTATCCTCTTTTCTGAAAATTGAGACCTTGGCTTTTAACTCACAAGAAGAGATTTTGTAAATTTTATCCCAAAAGACTAGACAAGATACTCCTTATATGATATCATGATGTGGCAATGTCAAGGAATGTCTACTGATATCAATTCTGGTAAGTAATTATCTGAACATCAACAGACCAATGTTGTAGATGTTTCTACTTACATGTGTGCTCTCTCAATAGCAAAAATATTTAAATAATTTTTAACACACTGAGATGATTTAGCAAAATACACTGTAAGGTAAAGATGCATTCCAAAAATGACTACGTTTAGCTGAAAGATTCATTTTACTTTTTTTACTTTGCAATTCAATTTTAAGAGCTTTTATTAAACTCTTAGAGCAGTAGAGCAAAGCAGAAAATTAACAGCAGTAAAACTGGTGATTTAATAAGCAGTAAGACTCAGTTGTGGTAGAAGGCAAGAGCATTTAAACAGAGTCAAAGATGACTGCAGCTGAATGTTTGTAAGGAAAGTATCTATTTTGATTAAAGTGGATAATAAAAAAAAATACAGAAATATTAAAAAAAAAAAACCTACTTCCATACCAATTGGTTAAAGCAGACTTATTTTTCCATTTATTTTTTTTTGGGGGTGGGGGGAAGATTAGGTCAGGCATTTTGGGACTTGTTTATGTTCAAGAAATAAAATCTTTAATGCGGTCTCAAACCAAGTCAGCATGATCCAATTGATTAATAAAACAAAAAACTCCATGATCAATAGTTCATTTTGTTTAGCCCAATTACGTCTTTGCCCCTTTTTAGAATCCCACTACTGGCTAAACATGAAATACTTTGAAGATAGAGGTATACATATTTGTTTGTACAAGTGTGTGCCCCTGTGTTCATGCATGTCGTTCAAACTATACCTTCTTCCAGAGACCAGAGAAGGCTCACTTACCCTGTGACATCTTTCAAAGGCTTGCTTGGTTTCTTGTAAAAGGTTAACCACCACTTCTTGGGAGAGGAAGGTTTCTCCATGGGTATCAATACTTGGACCCAAAGGCAAATTTGTGCGTTGTCTTATTCTTTCCTTGAGATCTTGAATACTAGGAATACAACACACTAATGAAAGCAATTTTAATGTTCAAGTTTAACAGTGCATTTGTAATATTTTAGCAGTTAACCTGATAAAAATAGAAGCTTAAAATATAACTTTAGTGAAGCTTTACAAAGTTGCCAAAGGGGAATAAAAAAACCCCCAAAACTTAACAGCACAAGTAAAAGAACATGCATTTCCCCTCTGATGATGCATGCAGTCTTGCCCCATAATCGCTCCAGATATTTCTCACTTCAGACTACAAGAAGTTTCCACCAAATTTAATGGAATTCATATGCTACAGTGGGAGTTTAGCTTCCTGGAGTCTTTTACTCTTTACAAGATTGTCAGAGGTCAGAGAGAGAAACAGTTCTACAATCCTGCATTTATAAAGCAGCCCACCCAAACATGTCCTGATTCACTTTCGTGGTGAGTCGCCACTCCAGTAACCTCAATACATCTACTCTCAAATGCACCTCCCCTACCCCGCCGCCAAAAAAAAATCAGATTTACTCGTCCTTCCCCTCAACTCATAATTGTTCCCTTCCTCCTCTTCCCTCAATCATCTCTTTTCTGTGATCCATCAAATCTATACCCCAACAGCAGTTCTTCAAACAGACAAATCTGAACCTCTCTCTGGTGGTCAAGTTTGTACTCTTCTCTCCGCCTAGCTGCTCTAGGACTTTACTATCCGTGAGGGCCCTGAGTTTGGTTCTACTCCCACCGTGGCAGCTTCTGCGGTCTTAGGGAATTATTGTATAGGAAGGAGGAGAGAGAAGCAACTACTAGGTCTCAGAAAGGAAAGAACTGAGCAGAAGAGTATGGCACAGAACAGCAAGAGGCCTCCATTTAATACCAGTCAGCACAGATGAAGGAAAGAACAAGACCGCCACAGAGAGGGACAAGTAAGCCAAGCTGCCGATCATCATTCCTTCTCTCGCATGTCTTCAGAGAAAAGAAAGGCCAAAAGATTCAAAGTGGGTCTATTGCAGCTGCTCCCCCACTTGTTCTGCTGCCAACTCCCTCTTCATATCCAGAATTCAGAACATGGATGTTGGAACATCAGCTATATCCAAATCAGGTGTAAGGGTTTTCTCCTCATGTAAAAAAGGGTTTTTTCCTCCTAACATAAGGGCTAAAGTTTCCTTGAAAGCATAGTGTCTACAGTTTGGTCCTATATAGGTAACTTCCCACCTGCCCTAGATGAGTATGTCTTTGGTATATGGGAGGGACACCCCCCGCCCTCCCAAAACCCTGAGTGGTAGAGAAACTGAACAAAACATGCTTACCCTAACCAATTTAATACTTTTTTTTTTTTTTTTTTAAGGATACCAAAAGAAATGTCCAGATTCACAGACTTTAGGCTCTTACATAAGGCTTAGGGCCGGCCCATCCTATCCTGTGAAACCTGTGGCTGGCGGGGGGCCCCCCACCCCAAGGGGCCCCCCGGCGTCTGGCCACTTGTCACTTGCCCCCGCTGGCTTCACGTCTGGCCACTCGCCACCCTCCCCACCCCGGGTACGTCACTGCTGCTGGATTCTCTGACAGCTCACCACCCCCCCCCTCCCCCCCCCCCCCCCCTGCCCCCCGCTTCCGGGGTAAGGGGCCCCCAAAAATGGTGGGCCAGCCCTGATAAAGCTTTACTGCTAGTATCTTAAAGAACAAGAGCAATTATTATTTTAGATATTTGAGAAGTTGAATAACAACTCAGAAGTGAGAGAGAGGGCTGAGCATGTGGGCATCTGACAAGATGGAAACAGGTCGTACCATGTACTGAAGCAGAATTGTAGGTGCCTAGGTAATTTTGTTGGCAAAAATGTAGGCACTACAGGATTTGGCAGGAATTTTGAGGTTGACACTCAGACTTGGATGCCAAAAATTCTAGCAATTAAACACCTAAAACCTTGGTGTGGCCCTGAGCTTAAGAGAAGTCGCTAGGTATATTAGTCTGAAGTCAGGCAGAAGGCATGGTAGGTTTGTACTTCATAGATTTAGTTAATCAGAAATGCATAAGCTTTCGTAAGCAACAGCCTGGCAACCTCTCAACTTGATCAAGACATTCAACACATGGTTCTTTCGTCTCATGTAATCATTTAATGGAAAGATGCATCAGGTTTCATTTTTATTTAAGGGAATAAACTTTAGTGTAGGGAGACATTAAGTGACAATACAACAACAACAACAACAACATGGTTTTGTCAACACATTTTAACCAGCTCATCATATAAACTAGAATGACAGTTACTGTTTTTTTCCCCCTCTAAGTTACAGTAAACCTTCTCTCTCTTAAAAAAAAAGAAACTCACCCGCCAGTTCCAATGGACCTCTTCTGGTGGTTTTTAGAGTCGTAATAGCGTTGCAGAATCACAGCGCTCCTACTTTTCAAATAACCAATTTCTACCTCAATGTAATTTTCCAAGTAGGAAATGAAAATGGATTTGATAAGCTTAGACAAGAAAGTCTGCTTATCAGTACCCAAGTTGAACTCCATCAATTTGCTTGAAAGATTAGTAGTTCTTTATGCAAAAGAAACAGGAAAAAAAGTTGTATTCATACAAGTTCTATTATTATATATTTGCAATGAACAATGAGGTCCCGATGCCAATTTGAACCTCTGGCCACTACCAAAATGAAAGCATTTTGTAAAATTCATATTAGATTATGTATAGAACAACTACATTCAAATTGGTAGCAGTGAAATAGTGACAGGTACACTTTTCACAGTAAGAGAATGGACTTTAACAACTATTTCAGTCTCTGAATCTTTGGGGGTGGGAGGGAAAGAAGCTCCAGTGGGCATTTCTATGATATTATCAGTTTCTCTAAGGGACTCAATTGAAAAAGGGATGCCTGTCGAGACTGAAAAAACATTAAAATATTTCAATTATTGAGGAACCTTAAAAGTTTGACCTCCCCAAAGTTTCAGTAACAAGCAAACCTATTACAAGATGCTACTTACAACAAGATATTGACGGTCAAGTTATAGCTACCTTGTGTACAGCTCATAGAGATTCTTAAGATATTGCTCTGCATCTGATTTCTTGTGTTCTTCTAACTGGTCCTTTACATAACTCTATAAATCAGAAGCATAATTGGAGGAATAATTTCAGTTTTGAAGACTATCAACAGCATTTAATAATTTCTACAAGAAGTCCTTTCAGGAACATTTCACATACAACATAAAGTATTCATATGTCGTTTTTATCTAAAATGTACAGAGATCATTCATTTAGCTCAATAGTTTTAGATCAATACAACTTTTTAAGGGGCTAATTTGGAAACAGACTTGAGCATCTTGCAGTAATTGCAGATGACTTGCACTTGAAACATTCTTGAACTGTTTTGCACAAGACCCAAGATAGCACAGTCAACGGGTCTGATGGTCAAAAAGAAAAAAGCCTAGAGGTCCTTCGTGCATTCTTGTGTGTACGAAACACAGCAAATGAAAAGATAGAGGTTTTAGACACATACTTGCTTGCCAAAATGCTTATAAAAGATTCCTAGATGCTAGGGTCGGAAGGGACCTCAATAGATCATCGAGTCCGACCCCCTGCCCTGGCAGGAAAGCGTGCTGGGGTCAGATGACCCCAGCCAGATGCCTATCCAGCCTTCTCTTGAAGACTCCCAAGGTAGGGAAGAACACCACCTCCCTTGGAAGCCCATTCCAAGTTTTGGCTACCCTTACTGTGAAGAACTTTTTTCTGATATCTAGCCTAAATCTGCTCTCTGTTAGTTTGTGACCATTGTTCCTTGTTACCCCAAGAGGCGCCCTGGTGAACAGAGCATCTCCGATCCCTTTCTGTGTCCCACTAATGAATTTGTAGGCAGCCACAAGATCACCTCTCAGCCTTCCCTTCTGGAGGCTGAAGAGGTCCAGGTCCCTCAGTCTCTCCACATAGGGCTTGTCCTGTAAGCCCCTAACCATATGAGTGGCCCACCTCTGGACCCTCTCGAGTCTATCAACATCCTTCTTGAAGTACGGCGCCGAAAACTGGACGCAGTACTCCAACTGCAGTCTGACCAATGCCACACAGAGGGGAAGTATCACCTCCTTGGTTCTGTTTGTCATGCATCTGCTGATGCACGATAAAGTGCAGTTAGCTTTGCTGATGATTTTGTCACACTGACAACTCATGTTCAATCTTGGAGTCTGCTATGACTCCGAGATCCCTTTCCGCTTCTGTGCTGCTGAGGGTCACTTCCCAGCCTGTAGATGTGCTGGATATTTTTAAGCCCTAGATGCAGCACTCTGCACTTGTTCTTGTTGTACTGCATCCTACTGTGTACTGCCCACTTCTCTAACCTGTCCAGGTCTGCCTGCAATCGTTCCCTACCCTCCAGAGTGTGCACTTCACCCCACAATTTAGTATCATCCGCAAACTTGGACAGAGTACACTTCACATCCACATCCAAGTCACTGATGAAGATATTGATGAGTACTGGTCCAAGGACCAAACCCTGTGGGACCCCACTACCCAAATCCTTTCAGGTCAATGCTGTTCAGTCTACTACCACTCTCTGGGTGCGACCGCTAAGCCAATTTGCCACCCACCAGATCATGTAAACATCTGTGTCACAGTCTCGTAATTTATTTATGAAAATGGGATGAAATACCATATCCAAGCCTTGCTAAAATTCAAGAAAACGACATCCACCTCTACTCCTATGTCTAAGCGTTTTGTGACCCTGTCATAAAACAAAACCAGACTGGTCAGGCATGATCTACCTGCTACAAATCCATGCTGGTTTCCCTGCTTCGTTATTTTTCCCGCTGGACTCCCACAAATATGATCCTTCATAATCTTTTCAAAGACCTTTCCAAGGATGGAGGCGAGATTGACTGGCCTATAATTACTCAGATCCTCCTTCCTCCCCTTCTTGAAATAGGAACCACATTGGCCCTTTTGCAGTCCTCTGGGACCTGACCCACGCCCCATGGGCACTCAAACAGGTGTGCCAGTGGTTCTGCTATGACACCGGCCAATTCCTTCAGTACCCTTGGATGGAGCTCATCCAGGCCTGATGACCTAAAATCCATCCAATCCATCCAAGCATCTGCGCCAAGTCATTGTCGACAGTTGGTTGGCTGGTGTCCCTCTGATGCCCATCTAAGAACCCATTAGGAGACTTATCTTGACCCCTGTTCAGGAACACCACGGCAAAAAACTCAGTGAATAGCTTAGCCTTCTCCACCAATACAGAGGTGGTACATATAGGATAGGCAAGTTCAGTACATATAGGGAAGTGGTATGAACACTCCCATTCACAATACTCACTTACATAAGTACCTGTGGAATGGGAAAGAATTATTTTCAGCTACATGGGATGCGCACAGTAATAGTGCATTAGCCACTGGACTCCGTTCCATAGCATAAGTTTTTTTGGCACAGTGAATGTTAGGTTTTGTGCATGAAGCTAACTCCAAGAGCAAAGAGATTAAAGATATTTACTTAACTTTAACTTCTTCCCTCTACATTTTAGGTGATGATGGGTCTGGAGAAGTAGGTCATACGTGTTTTCAGCAGAAATGGAATTATTAGTAAGCGTACTCACTCCCACTGAAGCTTATAGATATGTATACAGGAGACCCTTGCCATTTGCTGGGGATACGTTCTGGACATCCCCGCAAATGATGAAACCCATGAATACGGCACTGCGCTCACGAATGGCGCGTGCCCCCGGCAGCAGGGTCGGGGCACGGCTCCGCTGGTGACCACGGGAGCCCAGCAGCAGGAGCCTAGCGGTGGCAAGCACAGAGCTCCTGAGGGTTTCCTATAGGTGTATTTAAGATACGGGTTCGGCATTCGCACTGTAACAAAGTGAATATTCGCAGTGTGCAGGGAATATTCGGCGCACCGCAAATATTTGAAACCGCGAATGCTGAGGGTTTCCTGTATTGTTTATTCCCATTGTCAGCTACACTGTGCTTATCATCTCATTCGTTAGATTAAGAAGATCCCTTACTGTTTTTTAAAAATTATTTCTTATGTAATGTATATTACAAGACAGACAGACAGACAGAGAGATGTAAACACCTTCTTTGACCAAATTTTAGTATGCCAAAATTTAAAATACCTGGAGTTTGACTTCAAAGATATTTTGAATAAGTTTGGCCAATACAGTCTCTGGACTGCTAAAAATCTCTCCAACTTGTTTGTTCACTCGCTGACAGAGAATGGCTGCATCTTCAAATATATCATTCCTCAAGAAAGCACCCTAGAGATTAGAAAAATATTACAGTATAACTTTTCCAAATCCATAGTAAAATGCAATAGTAAATAGTCATAAATAAAATTAATTGAGAGAGAAAAATATAAAACATATTACCTCTTGACATTGTTTTATGTACACATCAACACAGTGCGAATAGCCCTATAGCAGGGGAAAATAACCAAGGATTAACAAATAAGTAGAAGCTATTGTAAAAAACGATTAGTTGTAGTAAGAATCATGAACTGTATGAACTCAGTTCCATTTTCTTTTTAAGTCTAGAGGGAGCTTCACTACAGTTATTTATTCAAAATGTGTTCAGATTATTCAGAAAGTGTCTGAATAAGAAAACATATACCACAAAAGCTTGTGGTGCAAGGGGATGGGGGCAGGGGAAACAACACACAGTTTTTACCTTAAAGTGAAGTAAGACAGCTGCCACTTCTCGCATTCTTGAGATTTCACCCCTTCTTTGGGCATTTGTAAACTCCTGAATCAGCTGGCACTCTAAATCATGGTACTTACCTATATAAGGAGAAGGGAAAATGGGGGTGGGGGTAGAGAAGGTGGAAATCACACACCATCAGTCCATCAGACAATGCAGTAAACATGTTGGCCAAAAAAAAAGTTGAATATTCAACATTAAAATTAGATTCAAGAAACAAGCAAATTCAAGTTAAGATTCACTCTTCAGTGCACTAGGAAGGAAACTTACTTGCTATTTTTGATTTTACTTCAGAAAACCTGTTAACAAATCAAAAAAGCATTATTAGTACCCATATGATAAGAAATTTAGAAGTATTAGCTTGCTAACTGAAGATGTTTGTTTTGAAGGTATTTTAGAATTAATTCTATTAAAACAAACCATGAAACACCTGCATTCAAGCCTAATATGTAAGAAACCGATAAGCAATTACTGCATTTACTTGACTATAAAATGATCCTGCCAATAATTAGTTTCTATAAATGGAAAATTTATAAAAATTGTTATAATTTTCCAGGTATAAAATCTAATGATTGGAGGTTTGTCTTGAATTTGTCCCCCTCCCACTGTTACAGCAGGGAAAATACATCTGGGAGGGGTCAAAAAAATAAATAAATTAATGATTTTTTTTTAAAGGTTCCCATATTTGCCCAATATGAGCCATGTAGTTTATAGTCATACTTGGTGTTGGCTACATTTAATCAACTTTATAGTTGGTTTCCATTACTGAGCAACTGCTGCTTTTGGCAGCAGTTTAATGGTAGACAATGTATTTAATAAGGTTTCCTTGTATGAAAGTGTAAGACAAGGGACATTTTCTCCCATGCTGGCTGGGGAGCAAAGTCTTGTCTTGTATTAGAGTAAATATGGCGGTAATTAGTTACCATCAAATTTAGCACACTGAAATTACAATGGTTTCCAGCACAAAAGCTTATGTACACAAAAACTTTCCAGCACAAAACTTTTAAGATGTAGGCTCAATAGTGATTGTGCTAGTTATAAACATGCTCAAACACACATATGTGTACATGCAAACACACTAACAAGTCATCTCAACACATTATTTAAAGAATCATATGAGTCAAGCAAAAACACAAAGAGGAAAACGAGAAACCCCACAGTTACAGCTCGTAAAAAGCATTAAAATGATTAAATCTCAACATACCTGTCAAAAGGTAGCTCCTGTGCAATCAGATGCAGCTTCTGAATAATATCTGCTGCCTCTTTAATCTATTAATGTGAAAAACATTATAGTTTTACTAAAATGTTATGACCATAAGTTTATCTCTTTCTCCTTGCTTTACCCCCAGGGATATGCATTCCCTCTTTTAAAAGTTGTTTGATGTCTACAAAAAAAAAAAAAAAAAAAAAAAGGGAGGACTCAAGTCAGGACTCTTTCCATTGTTTCATTAAACTGAAAATCAATCATTAGTAGTCTAATTTCATGTAAAAACAAACCTCTTTCTGTCACAGAATCACAATGTAACATCTTAATCTATAATCACAGCTGGCTTGTGCAGAAAATATTAAAGCCTTCTTCTTTCACTCCTAACTATAAACGCAAGGGTAAAGTGATTTGTAAACCTCCCAACCAATTCGAGCGCATTGCTGAAAAGTTCTAGGCACACCTGCACACTGTTTTCTTCAAGTAGAAAGAGCAGCTACAACAGAGTGCTTGGAGCTGCCAAAACCCTCCCAAGGTGTTGGGAAAAGAAGTTTAGCTAAAAATGAATGCCTCCAAGATGAAGACTCTGACGAAGACTTTGACAGGAAGGAAACTTACCCTGTGCCTATACAATACAAATATCCTTACAGAGAATGCAGTCAGTCACTTCTGACAGTGAAACAAGATTTTTTTTCTTTTTATTATTAGTCATCATTGTAACAGGTAGCAAAGAATCTTCTAGTGACAGCTTTGTTGGACTTAGTTAAACATTATAGGACTATAACTTCTATAACATTATAGGATCATAACTTCTTCAAATACTGAAAACAGAGCAGGATGTAACTGAAGTCTTAAAAGTTAAAGGAATAAAGTTAATTTTGTCAGGCCCCATCTTCAAGTTGGTGTGGGATTTTTTTTTAATTGTTGAGGACCAGACAGCAACTAAGGAATTGGACAAACAAAGCCATGATAGTAGTATGGACACATGACATAGTTTCATCCTTTGTAGGGTCGGAAGGGACTTAAGCAGATCATCCAGTCCGACCCCCTGCCATGAGCAGGAAAGGGTGCTGGGGTCAAACGACCCCAGCTAGGTGGCTGTCTAGCCTCCTTTTGAAGACCCCCAGCGTAGGAGCGAGCACCACTTCCCTTGGAAGTTGGTTCCAGATCCTAGCCACCCTGACTGTGAAGTAGTGCCTCCTGAAGTCTAGCCTGAAAATATTATAACATCATGTTATCCTATTCTTACAGCAGCTGTTTTCTAATGAGCTGTATCGACCAACCCAATGCAATGCTGAGAATCCACAGCAAAGTCACCATGCAAGTTTGGTTGTCTATCAAAGAAAGTGTGATTTTAATATTACAGCAGTATGGCATTTTACTTAAGATACATCCCCACTTGGATGCAACACCTTACAACAGCCTTTTAAAACGAAAAGGACCCCATCCTACAAATGTGCAGTGAAACCTCTTTTCTATTAGCCTCTAGCCATCTTAAACCACTGAACAATATTAACAATGGATACCCAGGGGCAGATCCCCTTGATTCCTGCTCCACCCAAAAGTTTAAAAATAACTACCTAGCACTGGCAACAGCATTTCTAATGAAACAGCAGTAAGGAATAAATTGACTTCATGGCTCATTATAATCTACCCGATTCCTTCTAAGCTCCTCATTCTACAGGTGTTAATAACCCCCTCTCCTTTTTAATGGCCTTGATGGCTGATTAAGCTACCATTTATTCTGCAATTCTGCCATGTGTTAGCTCCTCCTAGTAAAGAAAGCTCCTATTTCACAGCCCAGCAAACTGTTTTTAACTCTAGCTAAAAACATTAACTGAAGCGTGGAAACATTAACTCAGGTAGACATGAACTCAAATGTGGACACAAGTTGAAGTGAATCATTGAATGTACTTTCAAGATGATCAAGAAGGCTAGGCTTTGTTCTATGAATTTGAAAGAGATGTATGTGCAATTCTAATTAAAACAGGACTAAAGAAACATTTTTGCCTAATTTGTTTATGTTTATGCACAATATACGATACAGCAAATTCATTCACATTCCAGTGAAGTTACATTCATCTTTGTTTCTATCTTGACCTGGATAACATACTGCAAACCCCTTGCATGCTAGTAAAGTTTCTGATTTCTTTTTCTGGAGGAAAAAGGTGTTGTATAATATATGATGATAAACCAATACCATCTGCACCCCCTCCTCCCTTTTAAAATCCTAGATCCATCCATGTTTATTCCAGTATGGTTAGTCTAATCTGAGTATTAACTGTTCTTTTGTCTTACAAATAAACTTAAAAGTTAGTTAAAAACTTGGAAACTTGTAAGTTTTATTGAATTCTAGGGTTTTGCTTATGTATGACAGAAGCCATGACAAATTGATTTTCCATGGTTTCTGCTTAAATGTAGGCAAATTTCATTTTTAATTGAATCAGTCTTAGTAAACTGTGTTAAATTAAAATAAATATGGGCTGTATAAAAGCCAAGTTGAAGACTATAAAAGTACCTAGATAAATTAGAAAACTATAGGCAAAAGACTAACAAGAGGTGATTTTAACAGATAATTCAAGATAATATAAAATCCTTATCCATATAAATAAAAAGAGAAAAAAAGGACAATGCTGATAGGGGAAGAGAACAGTAATGGAGAGAAGGATTTAAAGGATACTTGCAAGTATATTAAACCAAAGCACATACTGTAATACTCTTGCATAAAAAGCAAACACTGATCTGTGACAACATGTGTAAAACTAAGGAGGTGATTATTTTGTCCAGCTTCAAAAAAAACCACAAAATCACGATTGAAGTACTTTACTCACTTACAGAAAGGCAATTGTTAAACTAGCCAGACAACAGAAAAGAAGGGTTATAAATGAAGAGGATGAGGATAATCAGTATGCAGAGTTTCAAAAAAGGCCAGCAAAACAGATGCAACATCACAGAAACAAAAACAGGGGAGTTACCTAGGATAGTTGAAAGGTGGCAAGTTAACACCCCAAAAATAAAAAAAGGGACAAGGGAAATTCCAGTTAGAGGAGAATTTTGTAGGAGAATAGAAAAACAGGGCTGGAAGGACCTCAGGAGGTTATCTAGTCCAAACCCTATTCAAGGCAGGACTATGCCTACTACATCGTCTCATACAAACAGCAGCCCAGCATGGACTTGAGAAACTTTCACAACCTCTCAAGGGAATCTGCTCCAATGTTTAAACACTTTGGTGGTTTGTAAGTACTTTAACATCCAAACTAGGGTCTCCCTTGTTAAAATATAAATCCATTGCTACTTATTCTGTCCCCAGGAGACAGAGGACATCTGACCAACTTACCCTTTTAACGAACATTTCTGCATTTGAAGACTCATCAAATCCCCACCTCAGTCTTCTAATCTCCAGACTACATCATCCCAGGTCTTCCAAACATCCTCACATCCTGTGTTCTAGGCCTCTAAATCTTTTTGTCACTCTCTGTTGGACTGTTTCCAATTTGTCCACATCTTTCTTGAAGACTAATGCCCGTAACTGGAAATTTAGGTTGGAGGTTAGGACAGTTAAACATCTGAACTGGGAAGGAACAGGGAAGGTATGGATTCTCCATCCCTGGAAATTATCAAGAGCAGGTTAGACAGACACGACTGGGATGGCTTAGTCAGGGATGATCCTGCCTTGAGTAGGGGGTGGGACCAGATGACTTCCTGTCACCCCTCCCAGCCCTGCTTTCCTATGGTCCTATAAACTGGACACGGTACCAGTGCTGGTTTATTTTGGACCATTTTCTAGTTTATTATGGTCACTTTGAATCCTAATCCTGCTCTGTAAAATGTCTGCTACTCCACCCAACTCAGCATCATCTACCACCACCAAAGTCAATAAAGATAACAAAATAGATTACCCAGGAAGTCAAAGCATTGTTGTTGGGGGCTAAACCAAGGGAAACCTAGGTGTTCCCCTTATGCCAAAAATAAAACAGTTAACATTCCAAGATGAGAAAACTTTAAAAAGCATCATTATTTTACATGTACAGCACAGAATACAGGATGACACTGAAATTATTGCAGGTAGAGAGATTAAAATTTAAACTGCATGTGTTCTGCACAGGTTTCCCTATATTTTTGTAAACACTATTTCAATTTGTGATTTAAATTTGGCAGCAATGTTAAAACGCAATACGTAATATTAAAGCTGTTAAGTAATATAGCACCTCTTCAGGATTGTTTGTAGCAGAAAATCTTGTTTCTACTCTCAGTTTCCTTTGATTCATAGATGTTAGGGTCGGAAGGGACCTCAATAGATCATCGAGTCCGACCCCCTGCATAAGCAGGAAAGAGT